AGTGTTGAAGAGGACCAGCCAGGTGGTTTGTAGAATGTGCCTCCACTGGGGTTTGACGGCTGTTTTTCTCATCATTTGGTTGGAGTCCTGGGTTTAGGGAAGAAAACCACAGCAGTAAAATACCATTTTCCTCTCAACACATCAAGGGTACATACTATCAATATGATTTTTATGCTGACCTTGAACTCCTGGCTGAGGCAGGGCTTGTCTGGTTTCTTGACTACAAAGTTACTCCTTCTCCCTCATTTTCATGCCATTCCCTTCAGAAGGACATCAGTGCTCAGCCCACACTTAAGGAGTAGGGAATTATGCTTCACCCTTGAGGGTAAAGTGTCTACATAAGTTATTTGGAATTCTTCTGCATGGGAAATTTATCTCTTCTCTCCCCATCTATTACATTATTCAATCAATTATTTATATCATTTTGGACTCACGGCCATTTATTTCCTATTTGGATTATAATCCAATACTACTTCATTGTGTTGCTCTAACTACAGACCTGCCCTTTTTTTCTTCAACATTTTATTAGGAAAATTTTCAAACAAAGAAGTTGAGAGAATGTTACAGTGGGAAAAAAATCTAATTATAAAATGGGCAAAGGACCTGAATAGGCATGTTTCCAAAGAAGATGCCCAGGTGGCAAACAGGTGCATGAACAGGGATGTATATGATGTATATTGCGTATCACGTATATATAATTACACTGTACACCCAGTGTTATATATCAGTTCTATCTCAGTAAAGATGGGGAAAACAGAGAATTTTATAGTGAATGCCCAGATACCCACCACCTAGATGCTACCATTAATATTTTGCTTTATTACATGCCTGCCCCTCTGTCATCTCACCTTATTTCTTTTTTGATCCATTTCAAAGGAAACTGCAGACACCGCTATACTTCCTCCCCATAATTTAGCATGCATATTATTAACTAGAGTTCTTTTTTTTTTCAAGGCAAAATTCGCAGTGAAATGCACAGATCTTAAATGTACCACAAATGCAGACCCCTGTGCAACCCAAACACTTATCAAGGTACAGAACAGTGCCATCACTCCAGAGCGCCCCCTTGGCCACCTTCCCGGTCAGCCCTGTCCTTACCCCACCCCCACCCCCTGCAGATGTAACCACTCTTCTGATTTCTGTTCACCATAGATTAGTTTTGCCTGTCCTTGAATATTGTCTAAATGGACTCTTAATCACATATCCTTACAATCACCTTATACAACGGGTGAGTCTCCCAGAGTTTAAGTCATGGGGCGTACATGCTGAGCTCTTTAGCCAGGACCTGCCCTTGTCTTTTATTGAGGGACTAGTCAGGAGGCCTTCCTGGAGGAGGCGGCACTTCTGCCCCTCTCTGGCTTGCTTTCTTCCTGCCTCTCTGGGCTGCTCCTTCTCAGCCTCTCTGTCAGCCCATTTTCCCCCGCATGCCCCTTCCATGGTGGTGCTACTCAGCGTCTGGCTAGACCAGAGCTTAAAACCAGCCAGCTCCAACCCACAGACAGGTTTTATTTGGCCCACACGATTTTTTTTTGTATTTTAATTCGTATTAACATTTAAAAGCTGAGGGATTTTGCTTTTAAAAATATCCACATTTCTGTCGTCTCTTGAAAATTTGGAACATCTGGCAATGCAGTGTCCCTCTTCCCATATGGCAAGAATTGGCTGAAACAAAATAGCAACAACCTGTGCTCTCAGCGCTCCCCCATGGCAGGGTGGGGGTGCAGTTCTGATGCACCCAAACCCTGAATTAATGCCTATAAAGCTTGGGATGGCATTGGGGTGATACTGAGCTGAGAACCCTAGAAATGCTTGGGTACCACCCTGGAATAACCATTTGTCTTCCCCAGGAGAAGCAGACCCAGGGGACAATGACAGGAGAAGGTCAAAGAGAACAAGTCTCTATCAGACAGTATCTCAGATCTCCCGTGCACTAGGATGGATGTCCTGTGCACTGTAGGCTTGGCTAAAGCAATTCTCTAAAGAGGCCAGCATGCAGACCTCTGGGACCCAACCGTAGGTGAGAGAGAGAGCCAGGGTGAAGCAGAGAAAGGGGGACAGTTGGTGGATTCAAGCCTTTTTCTGAGCAGAATGAAAGGGTGTGTGCATGCCTGCGTGTGTGTGTGTGCGTGCGTGCATGTGTGCGTGTGGGCACGGTGCTGGAGCAGGACATTGAGCAACCCCTGGAAGCAGTGCACATAATCCACTCCTACTTGGTGTTGGACAGGAGTAGCTGCTACTAACTCCAATTGTTTTCTCGAATTTGAGATCAGTGTTTTTCAGATTGCAGGTCCAGACCCATGAGCCAGTCATGAAAACCTTAGGAGGTTGTGACCAGATTTGTATTTATTAAATAGAACAAACACAGAATGGAAAAATGTATGAGAGCATTGCACTCAGTGAAGGTCAGGTTCATTTCATGAAACCTTTTACTTCGGGTGTGTTTGTGCCGGATCACGATGTACAATGTACGTCTCGCTGTGGTTTGTGGTCCTACAAGCTGCAAACCCACCGCCCTCAAATATTATCTAATGGGGACAGCTGACACAAGGCCAGGTGGCCGCAGGCATAAGGACAAGACTGAGAGGGTCTGACTTGATCCCACAGGCAATAGGGAGCCACTGAGTATTCTTGAGTAGTAGGGTCATGGTGAGCACCTCAGAGCAGCTCCCATCCACGTGGCATTTGGAATTCTCCCCCTTAGCAAGTCCTGCTAGTTCACAAACACTGGCTGTGCACGTGATGTAAGGGATTATCCACCCCAGGGCTTTTAGGACAGCTTAATCCATCTTCTCTCCCCTCATTTTACAGATAGGGAAGCAGAGATTCCAAGATGGGAAATTGCTTACCTGACGTCACTTAGCAAGGCTCATGGCTGCTCATCTTGAAATGTTCCTCATCTCCAGGTCCCATGTAGTCCGTCTGTTTGGGGATGGTGGAGGACGTGACTCAGCCAGAATGGGATGTGGGCTAGAGGAAACCTAGGGCAGGGATGATGGCTGTGTGTGTGCGCATGTGTGTGAGTCACAGGGGCAGCTGAGCTCACTCTCCCCTGCCTTGTCATCAACACCACTACCATCAGCATCCTCATCATTGCCATCTTCCTCCTCACCATCCTCACCTTCGTTGTCATCACCATCATGACCAACATGGCCATCATCACCATCAACATCATCAACAAAATCACCATCCTCACCATCACCATCATCATCACCGTCAACATAATCACCATCAGCCTCACCATAATCATCGTCATGATCCCTAGGGCCACCACTGTCATTATTTTTCTCCCTAGTAAGGAGATGGGCAACTAGCCCCCAGCCCTTTCTTGCCAATCTGGAGGAAAATACTGGAATGGGACGGTGGAGCACTATCTCCCCTCTCTTCCTCCTGCCTATTTCATCCCCCGCCCAGGGTAGGCCATGTGTGGAGACTCCCAGTGGCAAGGTCTAGCCCTGCTCCACAGGGATGGGGGAACCCTTGGAGCAGATTCCTAGGAACCTTGGCTTTAACTTCAGCAGGGACTGGCTAGGTGGTGACGTCGAAGTGCCAGGTCCCCGCTACTTCCCCCTATATCGGTGTGGCATCCTGTGAGACTCAGCAGAGGACAGCGGCTGGAAAAATACCTCATAAACTGTAAAGTGAATGACAAGGAGGCAGGGGATCCTAGTATATACTGAAGTAACACATTGAAGTTTAGAGAGCTTCTTTAACACATGCGAGGCCTCCTTGTAAAGATGGGAGAGGTCCCTAAATAGATGAGCGAGGCGGGCGGGGTCCGTGCACAGATACGCAGGTATATGTTCTGCAGTGGTCTATACACACAGGAAGGCTTGTGTACAGAAGCTGTGTCCTCATACAGATACTTTTAAGTGGGAGAAGGCTTTTACTCAAACGGAGGCATCCTTTACAGGTGAGATGAGGCTTACACACAGAAGTGAAGGGTTTTCATTGATGCAACTGACTATTATTTGTAACTGACTATTATTTTTTAAATGTTGTGCAAATGCTAGTGACCTTTGCACAGGCTTGAAGGTTCTTCCTAAAGATAAAGGCATCGCTGTGCTGTAGAATTATGTAACAGTTTGAGCGGCCTTGCACTGGCGGTCGCTGCTCAGCCGGGCTCTGTCGCGGCCTCCGAGGGAGCAGCGCGGTACCTGCGCGGGCAGGCGGCAGGTGGGC